GGAAAAAAATAATGGGGGGGGGGGGGGGGGGGGGTTGAGGGGGGCAGCACCGTCAGGAGGACAAGACCAATGCTCATGAGGACGTGGCTTCCACGAGCACAGCACTAGTGACGACCAACACAACCAAAGCAATGGTGACAACAAACGCAAAAGGGGACAACAACAGAGAGAAGAACGCACATCCTGTGCGAGTTTAAGCGCATGAAACAGCAGATATCATTATCACTTTCAAAACATAAAAAACAAAACCCCTCGGACACCCTCAGGACTCACTGTTTGGGCTGCGTCCTCGGCTGCTGAATCGCTAGGGGCATCGGCACCGGCATCCCTCCCCTCAGCCACCGGAAACTCGGGAGGAAAGCCTTCGGCCTCGAGTTCCGCCGCGGTCGCTCGTCGCGCCGAGAACCTGACCACCCCGTGCAGCCTCATGAAGTTCATCGCTGCTTCTGCCGGGTCCTTAGAAAATGGGCGGGTTAAAGAAGAAGGGCATCGCGTTTGGACGACGCACCAGCACGGGTCACAAGACAAACAAACGAACAATCGACAGAGAGCGTTGCGTTCGGGGCTACAAGCACGGCGGCCGTGTCCATCCGCAAGCGCAAGATTGACGATAAGGGCGCGGAGCCCCCGATCGTCTCGACCCGCAGCAATTCCACCCGCCGAACAACCGTACTGCAGAAGTGAGCCCGCCCCAACGAAACAAAAGATGCAAAATCGTTCCGCGCATCATACAGCAGTGTGCATGTAGCCCAGCGGCACACAGCAGTGCGGAAATGCGCGCCCCGCAAACGCAAAGAGAGAGAGAGGGAGCCACGGCGGCGGTACATAGCAGCACCCACCGCCGTTCTGAGCCAGCCCCCCAAGACCAAGGACGGTCGCCCTTACCTGCAGACACGGAAAGAACACGAGCACGAGGGGCTGTCGTCTCCCCGGTCGCAGGAGGTAGTCGCCCACCGTGCACGCGTGGTTGAGGAGCTCGTTGAAGTACGGCGGGGCCGAGGTCGAGTCTAGCGCGGCTTCCCGCAGCGCCAGGAGGTTCGCGTTCTCCAACTGCGAACAACAAAATGTAGGCCCAATAGGAAGGGGGAAGGGGCGCCGCGGATTGGAGGGAGGGGCCCACAAGGATTCGGACTCGGGGTGTCGCAGGGCTTTACCTAAGCTGTGCCTTCCTGTCTTCAGGCGAACAACCCCGCCAATTGGTCAAGTGATTTATGATCGTCTATGCTTGCATGTACCGTGCGTCACTCTTTGAGGGCACACGTGTCCGGGCGGGCCTTCCTCGCAAAAGGCACCAAAAATTGAAGCATTAGTGCCCACCCAAGGGGAACGCGACTCGTTGAGAACATAAAAACACAAACAAGTACACCAAGCGACCATACAAAACCACTTTTTCTGTTGAACAGGCCTTTGCCAATGCCTCGAGAGAATACCAACGACATATGTATCGAACCAACGAACGACGAGACAGCGCACCCAACCGACGCCAATCGCAACACTTCAGCCCTGACCTGAAACTCTAACGACGCCAAAACCGATGCCGTCGTTGTCGCCGCCTGCTCCCAAGCCATGGAAACCTTGAGGGTGTAACTCCGCCTGCTCAGCACCTCCACCTCTCGCAGCACGGCCTGCACGGAGCACACAACGGCGCGGACGGCGGAAAGCATCAGAACTTACCTCATAAGAGGGGGCTCCGATATAAAAGAAGGTCGAAGTCGGTTGTCACGGGCTCGACACGCTACAAGTATACAAGTAGTTCGGTACCCTCATAAAAGGGGGCTCCGACATGCAGTAGGTGGCAGAAGACATCACACCTCCTGGACCGATTTTCGAAGCTCGATTTCTCGGCAGGAAAAGCAATGACGGTGCCGAAAATGGCGGCGGTTGGAACCGTCTTGTCGAGAGCTTTCCGAAAACATATCCTTTGATTTCGGCACGCTCCTCGTCGTGGAGTAATCGAGCTTTGAAAAGCGGTACAGGGTGTGTGATATCTTATGCAACCTACGGTAAGAGGGTCAAGGGCCTTCGGCACCTCTTACACCAGAGCCGCGACTGCCGTACCCGCGTTGTAAGGAACGTGACAACAGGGAGGTCGACGCAAAGACCCGTCAGACGCAACCGCCACAACCACCGGGACCCTGTGCCCAGCATCTTCCAGTACTCTCTGCGTGTACCCTTGCGCCTCTCGCCCATGTGCCGTTCCTCAGCCTTGACACCCTTCCCCCCCCCCCCCCCCGCTCAATACTTTCTTCTTCTGAAATATAGCCTGCTCACCGCCGTTTGCACATGTTTATACGACGCATCATATGGTTGATGTTGGAAAAATCCCTGGGTACTGTTGTACTCTTGGCGGTGGGTCGAGAGCTATGTACCACAGGGTCCCGACCGTTGAACCCCCCCGTGGACCCTTTCAAGGCGCACCCAAATCCGTTTTATC